AAGTTGGCTATGTTGATGTCTAGAAAAGCATAGACTCTCTAGGATTAATGTCTACAAGTCTCTAGTTTAATAGGTTGTACTTTATCGCGATCTACCTGAACGGAGTGGACCACCTAGGGTTTGGCTAATGAATTACTAAGCTTATGCCTAACTCGGATTCTTCTAAGCACATACCAATTTGCAACTAGCAAAACGCAAGCCACATTTGTCTAACCAAAAATCAGATTGAAGAGATTATGGACATTTGTTGGTAGAATACTACACTATATGATCTTAATCAAGTTGGCTATGTTGATGTCTAGAAAAGCATAGACTCACTAGGATTAATGTGTACAAGTCTCTAGTTTAATAGGTTGTAGTTGAAGTTTGTGGCCAGGTTAAAACAAGAAGAAAGTCTTTGGCTAATGCAGAGATAAACTGTATGTATAAGTTGGTGGATTGAGTCTATGAATAGGCAAAGCTGGTGGGTACGTGTATGAAAGAAAGAAGCATCCCGTGTACACAAGCCCTTGACGTACAAAATTTTATCGAATTTCTAGTGGTCCTTCTTTGTGACATTCTGAAATCCGACCCACTTGGGATTTATGAAATGGATGATCTTATGGACGTGCTTGTAGTTAGATCTTGCCCGAAACTGATCACTCCTAGGAAACTAACCGATAGGGAATGGCTAATTAGGGATTTAAATTCGCGCGACCAAATAAACTCGATCGTGAATCGACTTTGGACCATAAAAATTGTCGAGGTGACATTTTGAGCCAATGTAGGCCGATCCAAGGATAGTTAGGGATCAATTTGCCGCTGTCATATCAGTGGATCGCGGATGATTTCGCTTGACCACGAGATGAATTGACGAATGACCCCAAACCTATACCAATCGATCGTGCCGTCGGAACTAGCGATCGATCCTCACAATTAAGTGACAACCGAGGTCGCCACGACCTGAGCAAACTTCAACGTGGCATGATTCAGTATCGGCCATGGGTCAAATGTGCGAATTTCCCCAAAAGCCACCCGTTAGTTCGAGATACGCTCAAGTTACGTAAATTAAATTTGATCATTAATTAGAAACCAAGTTTGGGCATTGGAAATTGTGAAGGTCATGACAGGATAATCGGACGATGTTGTCATTAGCTCGGTTAGCCTCAGATTTGTCCGGATTCTTCAGTAAAAAAGAATTTCGGCGAGAAATGGAAAATGACCGTTTTACCCCTGGGATTTTATTAAGGCCAAGTATAATGGGAGAGGGGCATTTTGGTCATTTCACACCTACTTTAGAAAATAAAAAAATTTGGACAATTTTGCCCTTGAAAATTTTGTGAAATTCCAATTTTGCCCCTGGATTTTTTTGGCGAGGATTAATATGAACCGTCGATCTTAGGATAAGATCGAATCGTGGACGTTGATTTGGAATATAGAGAGAGGGGTATGATGGTCATTTTGCTTGGAGATTAGACACCAATTATTGCCTCTTTAGTATATATCTCTCATTTTCTCTCTCTCTCCCTCATTCTCTCTCTCACTCACGCCAATCTCTCTCTCACCCCTCCTTCGGCCAGCCGGCCACCCCCTTCGCCGCCGCTTCCTCGCCGAGCCGGAGCCAGTGGCCGCCGCCGTGGCCGCTCACCATCACCACCACCACCGCCTCACGTCTCTCTCTCTCTCTCCTATTTTTGCCCCACCGAAACACCACCAGCCCCATCTCAGCCCCTGTTCAGCCGCGGAAAACCAGCAGCCAATCGCCGCCGGCGAGTCGCCGATAACCCTCACCACTTGTTGCCGCTGCCGCTGCTGTTCGCTCCCTGTCCAGCCGTTGTTGAGGCCTCAATTTCGTGTATGAAGCACAAGTAAGTGATATCCTAACCCTCGCTTAGGATAACGGGTATTTTCGGGTTAGTTCGGGGCCGTTTTAGTGAGTTTTAGGGGTTAATCGTGGGACAACGGTTGGACTGATTTGGCTGAGTGTTTTGGGAGAAATTGTGATGATTTTTGAGGTGGATTTGAGGTTAGAATTGATTGGTTAGGTAATCGGAATGATTCCGAGTGATTATAGTGGCTTATTGCGCGAAAAACGGGCCTAAATGCGTTGTTATAGTGATTTTCCATGGTGGCCGAGTTACTGTTCATGCTGTGGCCGAATTAGTGCATTTTGGTGATTAAAATATAGTGCGTGTTGGTTTGGGGGTTGTCGGTAGGAGTACGACACCCGTGAATGGCGGAATTTCGCCTAAAATGCAGAAATTCGGGTTAATTGTGCACGTGCGAATTGAATTGGGTTGGCTGGTTTGTGTGGCTATTATGGCTTGAAATACACATGAAAATGTTGAATTTATGCCCATGTTAGTGGCTGTGATTGTGAGCCCAATGGCGGCCTTGTATGCTTGTTGAATTGTGAATTGATTGATTGAAATGTGGACCGTTATATGCGCGCATGGACTGAATTGAATTGACTGGCAATGGGCCATGATTGGGTGTTAATTGAGCATGTGAAATGCATGAGGTTTGATGCGTGCATGGGCCGAATTTGATCGGCTGGTATATTGGCATGCTGGCGTGTAAATCGAGCGAGCGAATAAATGATAAATTGTGTGTGATGTTGTATGAGTGGTCACGAAAATCCCTGAGGCGGTACTATTACGAGGGGAATTGAGCCGTCTTGAGGCTGTACTACTACGCGGGATGATGCCCGGTACTACCGGAAGACTGCCAACCTGAGGCGTGTACTTCAACGCGGGTTGTGCAGTAGGTGGTGGATGTTGAGCCTGAGGCGGTACCATTACGCGGGCTAAGGTGTGTTGTGAATATGAGTTGGTCGCAGAGAACCTGAGGCGGTACTATTACGCAGGTCACTGGCGAGTTGAGTGAAAATAGTGTGATGAGGCAGGAACGAGTGTTGGAATGTGGGATTGGAAATGCCATGTGTTCGACTTGTGTATCGGGCATGAAATTAATTTGAAATGTGCATGTGATTGGAAATTATATAGTTGAGACTAACCTGCAGATTGCGCGGATCAAAAGCCCATGTAAGTACAATTGGATGCATGATGTGTTTATTGGGTGATCTCATGTTTGGTCTTGTCTGGAGGTACGTGTTAGCCTAGGTGGGGTTTAGGGTTTCGCTTGCTGAGAAGTGTTCTCACGGTTTTATTTAAAACCATTTAGCTGATCGAAGTTCCAGGGGAGTCGGGAGACAAGGACAATACGATTGAGATCAATACTGAATCCAAGTCTTGAGAGGAACAAACTGGCATCGACGAGACTGATTCTGAGTGAACCCCCCCTTTAGGGCGAATAGGGGTTAGTTAGAAGTTAGGGGTTGGATAGTCTTTGGAGATGCCCCTTTTGGCGGTAGTATTAGTCTGCCCCTTTTGGCAAAATCTTGACATGAGCTCAAAACCCTCCGAGCCTCATGGAAAATCATGAAAGATCACTTTCAGCTTCCCATTTACTACTCCTGATTTTTGACCAAACAAACTGTTAAGCCTACTTGAAAACGATGCCATAATATTCTGCACAAGAAACAGAAAACAGATAGAGGGTTAACAAACGGGGAAACGAAAGGAAAGAAAAATGCTATAGTCAATTCAGGATGGTTTTAATCTTCAAAACCATTACAGGGATTACCTGAAAATCTTCAAAAAGTACGACAGGCTTCTCAATTTAGGAGAGACATTCTCTTTTTCAAGAAACAGAAATTCATCGATTAAGCAGAAGTCCATTTCAACAGCTGAGTGATTTCACAGTTCAAGAAATCCAAAGCCAATTACCAATAGTAAAAAACTATAACAAGAAGCACCATCACAAGAATTTGAACTGAAGCAAGTGGTAAAGACAGAAAGGTGATGAACTGAAAATTGAGAGAGAAAGCAGAGCAAGTAATTACCTTGTCCACCAGGAAAGTCTTCAGGCCATTGACATCTACTTCAAGAATGCAGCACATTTCCATTGCTGGAGAAGAAGACTGTAAATTTACAACCCATCTAGAGACAAAACTTTACCGATTCATGAAAAAAGTTCTGCATATGAAAAGCTAGAATGTTTGGGATCTTTCCCACGAGGGAATTAAGTGAAGAGTTGGACTAAGTACTCGATATGGGACGGTCAGTGCGAACTGAGAAAGAGGCCAGAGAATCTGATTTCTATGCTTGGTCAAAATACCTTTCTGACAATTGTGGGTTATAACATATAATAGACAATGGAGGGAACAAGAAGCAAGGTAATGTGTGTGTGTGTGTGTGTGTGTGTTTTATTTATAGGAATGCATGATCTCTCTTACTTGAGGTGGCTTCTGGTCTCATCCACCCTCAAAATACCTGTTTATCAAACCGTTACAATGGTTTGCAACAGTTAACCCTATTACGAGTATTTACAGTATCACGTGTTTGCGATAGTGTTGACTTTAGCTATCAGACTTAAATTCCGAACAAAAGACGTGCATTGTAAACATGAAGGGAAGTGCAGCCACTTTAGGTTTTTGTGCTCTGGATTTCGATTTCGTGCTAGAAGCCATAAGTTGGGGACAAAGCCCTCAAAACACATTCATAAATTTTCATTTATGAGAAAGAGGAAATTGCATATATGACCTAAGTTCAATCAAGTCAACATGGTCTATCATCTGATTTTAAGTTGAATACGTTGGATTCTTTCAAATCAATTCGAGCTTTACGGAGGTTGATTTGATATACATTTACTTCAATCAAACTTGACTCCGTAAATCAATCGCAGCTTGACTCTATAGTTTTGACTCCGCCAATATGTCAATACAACATCAAATCCAAATCTACTGAGTTGATAAAGCATCTTCCAGCAAGTGAGACCTGATGACAAACTTTCTAGTCAAGAACCCAGAATCAAAATTTCAGACCAAGGAGTGCTTTACGGTTTTGAAGGTCAAATAGTTTGACACAATTTAACCTTTTTGCCATTTCTAATGCCGCCCGTGAATGCACTGGCATTTGATTCTGAGGCTGCTTATGTTTTTTTAAGGTATTTGGCCGATATTCCGGGTGAAACACAAACGTAATTATTGCTTTGCCTAGGATACAATTTGCCTATAGCCCTCAATCTTTGGACCTGCAGCAGCTAGTCTAGCTTACACAGCCGCTATGTGATTAGACTTGCGCTAATATCTCAGTCGTGAGCGAGAGGCTTGATCACAATAGATAGAATTTGCTGCCGAATGTCGCCGTCCTGGACGCCGAACCCATCTCCAAACTGGTAAAGCATATGCGCAACACGAGCAGCGTTCACGGTGACAATGATGAAGGGTCGGAGAAATGGCGTCTCGGCATTGCCGAAGCAACGAGCATTAATTCTTTTCCATGCTTGGTTTATCAATACCTTGATGTGCTTACGAGCAACGTCCTCTGATACATTTGCTTCTCGCATGTAACACACCACTGAGGATGGAGCATCTCCTCTATCTCTTTCAGCCTAATCAAATAGATAAATCAGTTAACTCCTTAATCAGATTCAATTTCCTAAATTTAGTTACTCCTTACGTCGTGTAAGTACAAAAGCTAAGAATTTTTCCATCATGTCATATTCAATTGGTTTATAACATTTCCACAGAAGTTTAATCATTACCGTTGATGTTCCTAGGTCGTTGCAAAGTCGAATTATCATGGACACATTGTAAATCAGATCCTTGTTTCTCTGTAGCAAATCTGCTGCATCGTCCAATTTCATATGTCCCGTGAAGTAACAAGCATGAGACAAGATCAGTGGTCCAGAAGATGATGTCCATGCATTGTTTAAGTACTCTTCCAAAGATGGAGTGTAGCCCATATTGTCCCACTTTGCTTCATTAAGTAACGCTTTGCAAAAATCTTCCCACTATGGAAAAATAAGGAAAAAAAGAAGATTTAATTGTAGATGATTAATTATGCAGGACATAAAATAGTTAGGGTGACATATGCATGGATATCCAGTTATCCAACAGTTTTTTCTTACAGCTTTCGTGAGATGTGGTAGCACTCGATGCCAATCTTCATCCTTGCCAATATCATAAGCGATGTCGTATGTAACATCGCGAAGCGCTCGGAAACAGACCTTCATGCAATCGGGAAGCTGTTGAATCTGCTCTGAATCCCATCTAGAAGCATTGGACTTTCCAATTAGAGAAAATGAGCTGAACAAACACGAAAGGTAGAGATTGGGAGGCATGGTGGCCAACCTCGTAATGGCACCGGTGAAGCATTCTAGCTCCTCCAACGAACCATATAGGTCGTAGATATCGTCGATCACCAGTATCAAGATGATGACCTTGGTAAGAGATTTTCGGAGAGAGCTGAACCGTGATCCCTGAGAGAGTCCAAGGGCGCACAAGAAACTTTCGACCAGCCGATCCCTCGCGAAGTTAACATGTTCGATAAGTCCCAGATCCCTCCACCACCTGAATTTACCGAAGCAACTAATCAAAATCCAAAGCTATGAAAATCACATCATGTCCGGTACACATAACTTCAAAGAAGGCAATTTCCTAGGATGAATTTAGACCATATACATCATGAGTAGTTTTTTTTTTGGTTGAAATATCATCAGTAGTTTGAGCGTGATGAAATTACCTGGATATATCTCTAAGGTCTCTTTGGTGTGTGGCTTGGACCATGTTGAAATTGAGTTTTGCAAGCTCAAGCAGATTACTTTGCTTGTCCTCCTGTTGCTCATACAAGCCAATTTGCCATTTGATGTCGAACCACTGGACCCTCCAGTGCATCGGAAGCTCCAAAGCATGGACGGCACGTTTCAAGAGCTGACCATCCAAACCGGAGACTCTCTCTCGGACAATCCCAGTTGAGAAGGCTTTCGCTTCATCCAAAATGTTTTCGCCTTCCAAAGCCAGATGTGAAGCCTCAAGAAGCTCTATCATATCTTCAACTTCTTCGCAGTTGCTTCCGTTCAATGTGTTCCTTCCTTCCTTGAACATCCTTAATTCATTTGATTACAAAATGAAAGTCGAAGATTTATGGCCGGACAGAACCAAGAATAATTGCTGATAGTACTAATTATACTCGATGTTAATAAATATTAGAAAGTACGACGACTGATGACTAAGAAGATGTTATTGGAAAACAGTGAATAATGGCATATGAACTTTGAGCGGATTGTATGCATTCAATTCGATAAAACCTCTCTGTGGACGAAACCTTCTTCACCGTCTAGTCCACAATTACACTTTCCTTTAGTGATCCTCTCTCTAGAAACAAGAAGGTTTTTCAGTAGAGCTAAGTCCCAATAGGTATGACTGCTACGGAAGGAACCAACTTTTGTGGAGTAATCTTCAGTACCTATAGCATTATTCGTTGATTTATTTGGCTTGTGCTGTCATTTGTTAGTAACATCTCAGACGAAGGAAATCACACACATCCATATTTACGAATTACCTTGTGAAACGACATGGCCATGCTGTCTGAGGAGTCTAAACCGAAGTGCACTGGCATAGAGCTGATCTTCCACGTTGAAAACGCCACCGTTGGTGGATGCAACGGTTTCAAGAGCTTCTTTTATTTCAGTGACAAAAAGGTTGGACAGCCCCAATTTTCTCATGCTGTCAATCAACTCTAACTTGAGGAGTGAATCGACTGCTTCTGATAACATTGGCTTTACTTCCTCCACGAGCCGTTCTACCCGTTCTTTAGTTCCTTCTTTCTACAGAATCGAGTCGAATTCGTAAGATCGAAATCTACCTCGAAAAGGCCTCAATTAATTCAACCTATAGAGCAATGCCAAGATGTTGTGATTATACTACTTTATCCTTTACGAATTTATGGTAAAATATATTGCAAAGTCTTGATTGCTTCTAATAAGGTTTTATCTAGACTCATTCTAATTGACCGGTTTAATCATATTTTAAGAAGTAACAACCAAAATAATGTGGACTCGTTATGTTTCTAATAACATGATTGATTTTTTTATTATCGCGATTGACTTTGTTGTATAGTGAGTCTGAAATGGTTGGTTTCATTTCAATCCCTAGAGGACTCAACCGTGAGCAAGCTAATTTTTCAGAAAAATTTAGTACATGCAAATGTATATAGCTAGATGAATTGGTTTTTTACATTCATGTTAGCTATAAATCAAGTCTAGATGATGGCTGATATATAGGATAACCACACATATTAAGATCATGCATGTGATGTTAGAAATCAATTTAGCAAAATACTAACTTGCTCGAATTAAAAAATAAATAAAATCAACCTGTGTCTCATGTGCAATACTTGAATAAAGGAGTACAACCAAAAAACCAACCGGTTCGATAATTAACGATCAAATTTGATGGAACTTATGAGCACGGGAGGTACAAATTAGAATCTTACGAGGTCGTTGTTGTTGTTAAGCGACTGGAGGAAATCGTATTTCCAAAGGTTAGGCCTATAATTGGCCGATCTTCTTTGATGCAACTTGTCTCCGACTTGCGGCGAATCCGCTTGGCTAGGCTGGAACTGGACTTGTTCTTTTTTGTACTCCATGACGAATGAGTGGAAGTTGAGAAGATTGGTGAGATAACGAATTTGTACGAGTTTAGTGATGGAATGAGTGTGAGTGTTGTTGAGCACAATGCTTCAATTTATATAGGCGAGTTCGAGTTGGGAGTGTTGTTGAGCACAAGAAGCCCCACATGTCAACCTTGTACTCGGTCGGTCTCATCTCCGACCACACACAGTAATCACGAATCACATGAGAACACGACACAACATAAGATAGCAATGCGCTTGCTTCGTATGGGACAGATGAGGTTACGAGTCGTGTTGGCACTGTCCATGCCTCACATGGGCCATTTAAGGTTATGAGTCAAATTAGCAAATATCCGCCCATGTTTCTCATGCCTTAGTCCAAACAAAACTACATGAATCTATAAATGCCTGACTAGAAAAACGCAAGCCCGTTTCGTCGAGCCAAAAAAATCAGATTTAAGAGATTATCTAGGAATAAAGTGGGTGCGCAAGGATTTTTGTTGGTAGATTACTACACTCTATGATCTTAATCAAGTAGGGCATGCTGTTGTTAGGATCAATTTTTTTCTAGATAAGCATAGACTCCTCTAGGATTAATGTCTACAAGTCTCTAGTTTAATAAGTCGTACTTTATCGCGACCTCCTCGAACGGAGTGGACCACCTAGGGTTTGGCTAATGAATTACTAAGCTTACGCCTAACTCGGGTTCTTCCAAGCACGTACCAATTTGTAACTAGCAAAACGCAAGCCACATTTGTCTAACAAAAAATCAGATTTAAGAGATTATGGATATTTGTTGGTAGAAAACTACACTCTATGATCTTAATCAAGTTGGCTATGTTGATGTCTAGAAAAGCATAGACTCTCTAGGATTAATGTCTACAAGTCTCTAGTTTAATAGGTCGTACTTTATCGCGACCTACCTGAACGGAGTGGACCACCTAGGGTTTGGCTAATGAATAACTAAGCTTATGCCTAACTCGGATTCTTCTAAGCACGTACCAATTTGCAACTAGCAAAACGCAAGCCACATTTGTCTAACCAAAAATCAGATTGAAGAGATTATGGACATTTGTTGGTAGAATACTACACTATATGATCTTAATCAAGTTGGCTATGTTGATGTCTAGAAAAGCATAGACTCTCTAGGATTAATGTCTACAAGTCTCTAGTTTAATAGGTTGTAGTTGAAGTTTGTGGCCAGGTTAAAACAAGAAGAAAGTCTTTGGCTAATGCAGAGATAAACTGTATGTTTAAGTTGGTGGATTGAGTCTATGAATAGGCAAAGCTGGTGGGTACGTGTATGAAAGAAAGAAGCATCCCGTGTACACAAGCCCTTGACGTACAAAATTTTATCGAATTTCTAGTGGTCCTTCTTTGTGACATTCTGAAATCCGACCCACTTGGGATTTATGAAATGGATGATTTTATGGACGTGCTTGTAGTTAGATCTTGCCCGGAACTGATCACTCCTAGGAAACTAACCGATAGGGAATGGCTAATTAGGGATTTAAATTCGCGCGACCAAATAAACTCGATCGTGAATCGACTTTCGACCATAAAAATTGTCGAGGTGACATTTTGAGCCAATGTAGGCCGATCCAAGGATAGTTAGGGATCAATTCGCCGCTGTCATATCAGTGGATCGCGGGTGATTCCGCTTGACCACGAGATGAATTGACGAATGACCCCAAACCTATACCAATCGATCGTGCCGTCGGAACTAGCGATCGATCCTCACAATTAAGTGACAACCGAGGTCGTCACGACCTGAGCAAACTTAAACGTGGCATGATTCAGTATCGGCCACGGGTCAAATGTGCGAATTTCCCCAAAAGCCACCCGTTAGTTCGAGATACGCTCAAGTTACGTAAATTAAATTTGATCATTAATTAGAAACCAAGTTTGGGCATCGGAAATTGTGAAGGTCATGACAGGATAATCGGGCGATGTTGTCATTAGCCCGATTAGCCTCAGATTTGTCCGGATTCTTGAGAAAAAAAGAATTTCGGCGAGAAAATGGATAATGACCGTTTTACCCCTGGGATTTTATTAAGGCCAAGTATAATGGGTGAGGGGCATTTTGGTCATTTCACACCTACTTTAGAAATAAAAAAATTTGGACAATTTTGCCCTTGAAAATTTTGTGAAATTCCAATTTTGCCCCTGGATATTTTTGGCGAGGATTAATCTGGACCGTCGATCTTAGGATAAGATCGAATCGTGGCCGTTGATTTGGAATATAGAGAGAGGGGTATGATGGTCATTTTGCTTGGAGATTAGACACCAATTATTGCCTCTTTAGTATATATCTCTCATTTTCTCTCTCTCCCCCTCATTCTCTCTCTCACTCACGCCAATCTCTCTCTCACCCCTCCCTCGGCCAAGCCTTCCTCCCCCTCCCACCGTGAAGTGGCCAGCCGGCCACCCCCTTCGCCGCAGCTTCCTCGCCGAGCCGGAGCCACCGCCGCCGCTGTGGCCGCTCACCATCTCCACCACCACCGCCTCACGCCTCTCTCTCTCTCTCTCTCTCTCTCTCTCTCTCCTGTTTTTGCCCCACTGAAACACCACCAACCCCATCTCAGCCCCTGTTCAGCTGCGGAAAACCAGCAGCCAATCGCCGCCGGTAACCCTCACTGCTTGTTGCCGCTGCCGCTGCTGTTCGCTCCCTGTCCAGCCGCTTTTGAGGCCTCAATTTCGCGTATGAATCACAAGTAAGTGATATCCTAACCCTCGCCTAGGATAACGGGTATTTTCGGGTTAGTTCGGGGCCGTTTTAGTGAGTTTTAGGGGTTAATCGTGGGACAATGGTTGGACTGATTTGGCTGAGTGTTTTGGGAGAAATTGTGATGATTTTTGAGGTGGATTTGAGGTTAGAATTGATTGGTTAGGTAATCGGAATGATTCCGAGTGATTATTGTGGCTTATTGCGCGAAAAACGGGCCTAAATGCGCCGTTATAGTGATTTTCCATGGTGGCCGAGTTACTGTTCATGCTGTGGCCGAATTAGTGCATTTTGGTGATTAAAATATAGTGCGTGTTGGTTTTGGGGTTGTCGGTAGGAGTACGATACCCATGATTGGCGGAATTTCGCCTAAAATGCAGAAATTCGGATTAATTGTGCACGTGCGAATTGAATTGGGTTGGCTGGTTTGTGTGGCTATTATGGCTTGAAATACACATGAAAATTTTGAATTTATGCCCATGTTAGTGGCTGTGATTGTGAGCCCAATGGCGGCCTTGTATGCTTGTTGAATTGTGAATTGATTGATTGAAATGTGGACCGTTATATGCGCGCATGGACTGAATTGAATTGACTGGCAATTGGCCATGATTGGGTGTTAACTGAGCATGTGAAATGCATGAGGTTTGATGCGTGCATGGGCCGAATTTGATCGGCTGGTATATTGGCATGCTGGCGTGTAAATCGAGCGAGCGAATAAATGATAAATTGTGTGTGATGTTGTATGAGTGGTCACGAAAATCCCTGAGGCGGTACTATTACGCGGGGAATTGAGCCGTCTTGAGGCTGTACTATTACGCGGGACGATGCCCGGTACTACCGGAAGACTGCCAACCTGAGGCGTGTACTTCAACGCGGGTTGTGCAGTAGGTGGTGGATGTTGAGCCTGAGGCGGTACCATTACGCGGGCAAGATACATAGCCTGAGGCGGTACCATTACGCGGGCTAAGGAGTGTTGTGAATATGAGTTGGTCGCAGTGAACCTGAGGCGGTACTATTACGCAGGTCACTGGCGAGTTGAGTGAAAATAGTGTGATGAGGCAGGATCGAGTGTTGGAATGTGGGATTGGAAATGCCATGTGTTCGACTTGTGTATCGGGCATGAAATTAATTTGAAATGTCAATGTGATTGGAAATTATATAGTTGAGACTAACCTGCAGATTGCGCGGATCAAAAGCCCATGTAAGTACAATTGGATGCATGATGTGTTTATTGGGTGATCTCATGTTTGGTCTTGTCTGGAGGTACGTGTTAGCCTAGGTGGGGTTTAGGGTTTCGCTTGCTGAGAAGTGTTCTCACGGTTTTATTTAAAACCATTTAGCTGATCGAAGTTCCAGCGGAGTCGGGAGACAAGGACAATCCGATTGAGATCAATACTGAATCCAAGTCTTGAGAGGAACAGATGCGCATCGACGAGGCGATCTTCGAGTGAACCCCCTTTAGGGCAAATAGGGGTTAGTTAGAAGTTAGGGGTTGGACAGTCTTTGGAGACGCCCCTTTTGGTGGTAGTATTAGTCTGCCCCTTTTGGCAAAATCTTGACATGAGCTCAAAACCCTCCGAGCCTCATGGAAAATCATGAAAGATCACTTTCAGCTTCCCATTTACTACTCCTGATTTTTGACCAAACAATCTGTTAAGCCTACTTGAAAACGATGCCATAATATTCTGCACAAGAAACAGAAAACAAAGAGAGGGTTAACAAATGGGGAAACAAAAGGAAAGAAAAATGCTATAGTCAATTCAGGATGGTTTTAATCTTGAAAACCATTACAGGGATTACCTTAAAATCTTCAAAAAGTACGACAGGCTTCTCAATTTAGGAGAGACATTCTCTTTTTCAAGAAACAGAAATTCATCGATTAAGCAGAAGTCCATTTCATCAGCTGAGTGATTTCACAGTTCAAGAAAGCCAAAGCCAATTACCAATAGTAAAAAACTATAACAAGAAGCACCATCACAAGAATTTGAACTGAAGCAGGTGATAAAGATAGAAAGGTGATGAACTGAAAATTGAGAGAGAAATCAGAGCAAGTAATTACCTTGTCCACCAGGAAAGTCTCAAGGCCATTGACATCTACTTCAAGAATGCAGCACATTTCCATTGCTGGAGAAGAAGACTGTAAATTTAAAACCCATCTAGAGACAAAACTTTACCGATTCATGAAAAAAGTTCTGCATATGAAAAAGCTAGAACTTTTGGGATCTTTCCCACGAGGGAATTAAGTGAAGAGTTGGACTAAGTACTCGATATGGGACGGTCAGTGCGAACTGAGAAAGAGGCCAGAGAATCTGATTTCTATGCTTGGTCAAAATACCTTTCTG